CTGGACATTTTAAGCTTATAATTAAGATTGAGAACCAACAACATACAGTCATGGCCAAAAATATTGGCACCCTTGCAATTCTGTCAGAAAATGCAACCCTTCTCTCAGAGAAGACAAAGAGGAACAGTCAAAAGAGAGAAGGAAAGTCAAATCTGATACAGTCCCACACAGAAACCCAAAACTACACTGGCCAAAATTACTGGCACCCTTAACTTAATATTTGGTAGCACCCCCTTTGGAAAAAAATAACTGAAATCAGTCGCTTCATGTAACCATGAATGAGTTTCTTACACCTCACTACTGGAATTTTGGACCACTCTTCTTTTTGCAAACTGCTCCAGGGCCTTCAGATTTGAAGGATGTCTTCTCCCAACTGCTCTCCACAGAGGTTCTATGGGATTTAGATCCGGATTCATTGCTGGCCTTTTCAGAACTCTCCAGTGCTTTGTTTGTAGCCATTTCTGGGTGCTTTTTGAAGTGTGTTTTGGGTCATTGTCGTGCTAGAAGACCCATGACCTCTGGTGGAGACACAGCTTTCTGATGCTGGCCACTACGTTGCACCCCAAAATTCTTTGGTAATCATCAGATTTCATGATACCATTCACACAGTCAAGGCATCCAGTGCCAGAAGCAGCAAAGCAACCCCAAAACATCTTTGAACTTCCACCAGGTTTGACTGCAGGGACCATCGTTTGGAAGGAGCACACATCTTGTCTTTTGGATTTTCACAAGTTGGCATGTACTTTAAAAGTTGGCATATGATTTTAAAGTGTCACAAACAAACTGAATGCTACTATGTAACACAATGTAGTACTGTTGAATTTGTTGTCTTCTACCTTTGCAATCTGACTATTGAGTCTTTTTACTGCATCCATTGCTCCAAACAGCATGCAAGAGGTTGATGATCAAAGATCAGAAATGCCCAGTCACTAACAACACAGTTGAACACAAAGAGCAATAGTGCACATTTCCAGCATCTTGGTAAGAGTACAACCTCAAGAAATAAGTCACATAAAATTGGTTTTTCAACAAGGTTGACATGTTGGAAAGTAAAGATAAAGAAACAGCTGTAGCATCAAATCATCAGCTCACGTCACTCAGTACAGAGGCAGAACACACATTTTGAGTTGCACTGACTTATTTCATCATTTAAGAAAGATCACTAAATGGGCAAATAAAATTCCTTGTTTGTCTCCAGCATTTCTTGCTCATGCTGATTATATTTAATCTGGTATTTTGAATCTTCTTTTTTAAAACAATAAACCATTTTATTTGTTTTTATATATACACACTGCCTTTCATAAAGAAAAATGCTTAATGTGGCAAGCAGAATACATATTAAAAGATGTTTAAATATATATTTAAAAGCATGAGTAAACTGCAATTAAGAGAACAATGTTACGTGTATTTTCTCAGAAGTAAGTGTGTTCAATGGGGCTTATTCCCTAAGATGTACCTTTAGGATTGTAGTTTGAAAATGGAAACCAGAAGAGCAATCAAAAATAAGAATCTTTTTTAAAAAAAGAATCCATTTTATCAAGTATTTTTGAAATTCCTTCGAAAGCCTGCTGAAATAATCAGGTGTTCATTAAAAGGTGAACATTTGATGTCAGATAATATCTTCCAGCAGGATGTTCCACTGCCATTGTGCCATGAAAAGATGCTGCTTCATGTACATCTACTGCTCCTTGGGAGAAATGAATGTAGGTGTTAATTACCATTCATTACCATTATGTTAGAAAAATGGAGATTAGTAAAATGAGCTGAATTAGGAATATTCATTTGCAGGATGCTTATTTATTATCCCAATACATTCAGGATTTATTAAACAGGATAAAACTTTCAGGTGGCTGAGCTCCAACATGGAGACACTTTCATAGCTGGCATTCTATTACTGGTGAAGGAGAACAGTAACCAAGAGCTACTTCCTTGAAGAATGAGGGACTCACCTAAAAAGCAAGTGATCACTGATCACTAACAAAGGTCAAGATGGACAAGACACAAAGTTCACTTAGCTACCTACAAATCTGTCTCCTCTCCCACCACTGACTACTTTAAATATAACATTACTGCACTTATTTTAGCAGTGATGTGATGGGGATGCTCAGCTGTTGGTCTCAAGGACCGGACAAAGCATTTTAATGTAAAAGATCAGTAGAGCTGCTTTCAGTTGAGATAAATAATAAATTTCTTTGTGTGGATTCTGAGAGCCAAACTATACAATATGCCAGTTTAGTTGTTGTTTAGTCGTTAAGTCGTGTCCGACTCTTTGTGACCCCATGGACCAGAGCACGCCAGGTCACGCCAGTTTAGAAGATGTTAAATATTATCCCGCCAAAGCTCGATTTCCTCATAGCTGCCCTGTCTATACAAGTCAACTTACAAATGAAGCCTATTGTTTAAATCCCAATGATTCATCACAAAGCCAAACCAAACTAATTTGCTACTTGCAGAGCCATAGAAACCTCAGCATCTCCCAGTAGAACAAAGTATTGTTTACCTTTCAGGGAAGCTCTGTTTCTGTTTGTGGGTCTTATAGTGTGGCCCTGAGATTGATATTGAAAACAGCAACCCTACATCTTTCTTTGCCTATGTTAGTTACAACAGGCGACATTCAGTATGATGCCAAATAATCACATAGAATGTTTCCTTTGTCTCCTAATTTATTCAGTCTGTATGCAGAACATACTGTATCATACAGAAAGCCAGGTTAGATTCAGATGGAGTGAAAACTGGTGAAAAAATATCAATAATTTAAGATATGCAGATAACTACAGCTGAATGTTAAGAAGACCAAAATCATGACTATAGAAGAACGACACAACTTTAGTGTTGACAATGAAGAAATTGAAATAGTTAGATTTTTTTATATCTTGGTTCACTCAATCCAAATGGAGATTGTGGCCAAGAAACCTGAAGACTTGGAAGGGCAGCAATGAAGGAACTAGAAAGTATCATCAAATGTAAGGATGTGTCGCCAGAGACCAAGACCAAAATAATCCACACTCTTGTATCACCATGTGTGGGTGTGAAAGCTGGACAGTTAAGAAAGCTGACAGAAAAAAAATGATTTGTTTGAAATATGGTTCTGGTATAGACCTTTGCAGATACCTCAGAGTACCAGAAAGACAAACGAAGTGGATCCTAGATCAAATCAAGTCTGAATTACCTCTGGAGGCAAAAATGTTGAAGCCAAGGGTGTCCTATTTTAGGCAAATCATAAGAACTCAAGATTTTCTGGAAAAAGCAATAATGCTGGGCAAGGTGAAAGGCAGAAAGAGAAAAGGAAGACCAAATACTATATAAGATAGATCAATATCCTAAAGGAAGCCACAGCCTTGAGTTCGCAGGAACTGAGTAGGGCTGTTGAGGACAGAACATTTTGGAGATTGATCATTAGAGATGGGCACAAACCACAGTTTGGAGGTTTCTGCCAGTTCATCAGTGCAGCAGATGTGCCCCATGTTCCCTTCCTCCACCCTCAGCAGATGGCTCTGCCACTCAACTGCTGGCACATGCTGTTGTTCTCTTGCACTTCCCTTGATCACCCAGTAGTAGCAGGAGCTCATGTTTCTCTCCTCTGCCTTCTCTGGCAACCACCTGCTCAGACAAGGAGGTGGGGCAGATATTCCTGCAGCTCTGCAGTTGCTGGAGGAGGTAGGGGAGGGAAGTACAAGCTCCAGCTTTGATTGGGCAATCATGCAAAGAGCAGAAGAAGAGTAGTGTGTGTCAGCTGGTGAATGGGGGAGCTAGCCACGGGGGGGGGGATGGGGGAAAGGAACATGCGGCAGCAGAGGCGCCTTGTTGATGAACTGGCATGAACCTGCAAAGAGAGGTTTGTGCCCATCTCTATTGCTCATTTATGGGGTTGTATAGTCTTATTTGTTCAAGAACACTTTGACTCTTAATACGTTGGGGGGGAGGGAAGAAGTAGAAACATGGAAAGTTACATTAAACCAAGCCAGACCCTTAGTTTGGGAATGCCAACTCTGGCTGGCAGCATCTCTCAAGGGCTTCAGGCATGATATCTCTAGCCCTATTCTGAGATGTCTAGGATTGAACCCAAGTCATTCTGCACACAAATTGGAAGCAAAGAGTGTGCTCCTATTTGAATTTTCTTCTTAGCAATAAGTGGTAGGTTTTGTTTACTACATACAAAGTATTTCAAATGTTTTTGCTGTCTTCAAAATTTGTGGAGAGCAATTACTATACCTTTGGAATAGTCCCTGCTAGCAACCATGGAACTGGTTTACTGCCAGTCTACTGGTCTCAATATTTGCATTGCTCTCAATGTTTTAGTCAGGATGTAGCTGATAGGAGTTACAGACCAACATCATGTTGAGGGCTGCAAATACTGCACCACTGCATGTGTGGTTTTAGGTACTCTTAGCTCTGCATAGGATCATTGGGATGAGCCTGCGTGTCTTCTAAAATGACATTTAAAGAAAAAGAAAAAAGCAAGTGGTGCTCCCCCACCAGCCAACCCTAATGTTTGCCTCCAAAGCCTTCCATTTTAGGTTCAGCTGTGTCACAGCTGCACAATTTAATTTTAATTAATCAGTTCTGATTAATATGACCAAATGGGGCAGAACTATTTGAAATAAAAGAGCATATTGGATGGTGCTTGCATAGCTCCTGTTTGTTACAGGAAATGTTCAGGCTTTTTGTTTCGTGGAGAAAAGCTTCCCTTTTGCCAACAAGAATAATTGCAGCCATTTTGCATAGGAGAAATATTAGCAGTGTCATGCATGATATTCTGTAAGATTAAAATGTGTACATTGTATGCTTAAATCTTATTAAATTCAAGGGCATTAAAGCCACCTTTATCTAAAATCTGCCCCACGTTTCAGCATGGGAGCAATCACTGAAAAGGCACAAATTAATAAATGGAGATAAATGCAGGGAAATAGGCAAATGTCATGTCATAGATTTATCCACCAACAAGACATTGGCAAGGTTTAGGTCAGGGGTTAATGAAAGGCATCCAAAGGTCATTTGGTGATTATATGAGAGCATGGGTTTAATAGGGTACTGAGACGACAGACACTGACAGAAGATTTATACCAGAGGTGATGACACTACTTCGGATACCGCTGATAAAAACGAGCCCCAATATTGGACTGAGTAGAATGATGAATGGCATGGACGTCTATTCACACTTCTCATTATAAGCTCTTTCACTCTTGGTGGCACTTAGCTGCATTTATTTACTGTGGTTTGAAGGTGCAGGGCAATAGCCCAGTATATCTAATGCCTTTAAATGGAGACTTGCCATAAAGAAAGAGAAAAAAGGGTGGGGGGGGGAGAAACAAGAGATAAGATTAGACCATTGAATAATTGCACAGCTTTCCTACAGAGATTATATTCACTAGCGCTAACATTATTTCCCCCCCCCTTATGTTCTGAGTGTGAGGAGAGCTCAAGTGAATTAATTTTCTACAGCAGAAGGTCAAAGGAAAATAAACTGATAAGCATTATGCCTGGTATAGAATATGACTTTACAATATTCCCTCATCCTCATTTGTCAGATAGTGATTATGAAATAATATGGTAGAAGTACGTATATAAGCATACTTTTCACCACATTATATATGCTGGTTTATTTGTCCTTGATGCTATTTTTCTTTCTGTACATTGATTGGCCACGAAGAGATCATCAGCTCAAAATGTCATTGCTAGGTATAGATATAGGTATATACCTATATATATACCTAGCAATGATAATACTAAAAACAACTTAGTGCACTGATGAGATGGGAGGAACCTAAGACCTGATAAATAACACACAATGTCTAGAGAAACTCCTTCTCAGATTGTCATGTATTTATCAAACTGATGGACTGTGTCATCTGAATAAGACCTTTCAGCTTTCTAGGAACAGAAGTTCTAATAAGAGATGCAAATAACACAAATGGACATTGTTAGCAGAAGGTTACTTATTTTATTTATTTATTGGACTGCTTTCCCATTTTGCCAGCTCAAGGCTGGGAACACAACACTACAAGCACTAGTAAAGGCAATAAATTAGAGCTATGTCTTGGATCCAGAACTAGTTATACCTAGGGTTGAAAAACAAAAAACAAACAGTAGCATGCTGTCAAGTCCATTTTAACTTATGGCAACACTTCTTGTGATTTTCTAGGGATAAAGTACTTAGATGTGGTTTACTAGTCCCTACTTTTGGGGACATTCTTGGTCTGTGCAGCTTGCCAAAGCACACACAGGTTGGTTGTACTCATGGGATACGCACTGGGGAGTTGAATTCCTAATTCTCCGTTTCTGACTCACCGAGGTATTCAGCTACCTATACTTAAGAACAGATTGCCATAAATTTCAGGATTTCATTGGATTTACAGTATGTAAGTCTAATACAGTATGGATCTAACTCTGACTTGTATTTTCTGAATCAAAATTAAGCTATGCCCATTTAACCACAGACATCAAGTGATTTGCTCTTTCTAAATAGGTAGGCTTGTACTTTAATACAGTATATAATCAAAGAAAGAGAGTCCCATAATGAACAGCACACACCCAAAGGTACTCTTTCAAGCTGTATAGGAAGTGCAGGGCCATGCACTGATTTTATCAGAAATTTCCCCAACATCCAGATGACATTAATCTTCTCTCACTTTGTATCTCTTCCTCCCTAGCAGTTCTCCCCCCCTTATTTTTTTGTCCCTTCAAAACAAACTTTTTTTTTTTTGCATCACTTTGTACCAAGGCAGTGTTTAATGCTATGACACTTCCCAAGCAGCTTTGTGCTAATTTCCACCTTTGGCTCTTGCCTCAACTTCATTTGCTTGCCAGATTTAGAATCCCCTGCTATTGTTCTTGGTAGGAAGTGTACCTCTTTAGATGTCAGGGCCTGGGCCACAGCTGAGGAAGGACTCAGCTGTTACCCAAGGATAGCAAAAATCAAGGCATGAGAGGAAAGGTGTGCAGCAGGTGGGAGGAAAGGAGAAAGTGCTGGCCAACAACAAGGTGAAGTTTGCTAGGCATTGTCTAATAGAAAGACACCCCTGTGGTGATCGACCTTGTTGCCCCTGTTTATTTGGTCCTCACAAAGGATCACACCCTTGTTCCAGTGGTGGGATTCAGATAAATTAACAACAGGTTCTATGTCCTAATGATAAATAAATAAATAAATAAATAAATAAATGTATGTATGTATGTATGTATGTATGTCCAGGACATTTTTTAAAAAAGGTACCACATAAGCAACAGTCTTTTATGGGACCTTTAACTTGAAAAAAATCATAGTAAAATGAGGACGGTTGGGTGTTTGACTGAAGCGGTCTCACCCCAAAACTTTTTCCCTCTGTGTCCTGCCCTCATGCCTTGTCAATCACCCCCCTCTCTGCCTCGAGGCCATGAGCTCTCCTCCAGTGACGTCAAGGACTCATCCTCCCCCACCCTTTCCCCCATTGATGCCTCTGCTCTTTCCAGGGCTTTATCTCTCTCACCCACACCCCACCTCAGACGGCTCAGTGTGGCGCAGGAAGGGAGGCAGCTAATTGCACCCCCCTCCCCCCCGCTCATCGCTGGTCACCTGGCCCCTCCTCCTTCATTCATCTCAGGCTAGCAAACGGTTCTAAGAACCAATAGTACATTTAGGAATCGGTTCTATAGAATAGGTGCGAACCTGCTGAATCCCACCTCTGCCTTGTTCTCTTCTAGCTGCCACCAGGTATTCTCCTAGTACCTGGTGGCAGCCACATCTCCAACTGTCTCTCTAACTCCGCCCTTCCTGCTCTATCCTTGGCTCCTCCCCCTTGAGCTTCTGTGATGGACAGGCAAGAATGACGTCACCTTTTGGCATTCCGCTATGACCCCTGAACCACTGAAGCACTGTAACTAACAGTTGCCATGAAATTCCATGTAAATCTAATGAACTTTCATCATCAAGCAACAAAAAAGAGGTAAAACAAAGGAAAATAAACACTGCATCTGGAAGACACCTCAGTTAAAATATTCATTCTGTGTGTAGAAACATCACATGTGATCATGAAGAAATGATTGAATTCCCCTTTCATATGTTTTGTTTTATATGCATTGAGAAGGCTGCCAACATAGTCTTCATTATGAATGGCCATACTTTAGGTCCAACAGTGTCAATAGAGAACAAAGCCATAGCACAGCCTTTGTGTGGATGACCATTGTCAAGAGCTCCCATGATTAGAACTAGGGAATTAAATATCTAAATATGATTACTGCCATATATAATAATGTTACTTACTGGAACTGTGGAGCAGAATGTTACCTGGGCTATGAAAGGCCTTGGCTTAATAAATTCTAGAGTCACTCAGTTCACTGAACCGGCCAATGGCTTCTTCTGACTGGGAAAGACTCATCTTGAGAAGACAGACCAAATATAAACATTTTAAATAAATACATAAACAAAAAAAGGCTTCAAGGTTGGGTGGGATTTGATTTGGGCAATAATAGTATTATTGTGTTTAATAAAACTCCAGCTCCTGTTCCTGGTTTGTGATTCTTGGCTTCTGATTCCTGGCTCCCGCTCAACATCTAGCACTGCCAGTAATTCAGGTTGTCAGCTGATTAACATTTTAGCTTTTAGCCAATTAAATAGCTTGTTAACTGACGGATATAGATGTTATGATATATCAATAAAATAATATTTTGAGGTTATTTTAATGAAGAGTTCTCTTGATTATCACACTAGAATAATTTGTTGCTGGATAAGTCATCTCAGGCACAATGGCTGAATCAAAACAGTGTATGTATTGCTTACGAAAATGCTATCAAAACTGATGGGTCCAGTTTTGAGCTAATTTAAAATATAGATTGTAAAATGAGCAGTTCATGACTTTTTAGATGATCCACTGTTGTTATATGCTATCAAGCCACTTCCAACTTATGTCAACCTTTGTAGAGTTTTGACATATGTGAGATGTTCAGGGAATCACTACCTGGTCTTTAACTAAGGCAGCAGGAATATGGGACCTTTGGCTTCACCACAAAACTCTGGCTCTTTCCGTAAATTTTCCACCCATGCTTGTTGTTAAATCATATGCTCAAGAATTAAACCCTAGCAGTGAAATCAGTCCCCAAAACTAAAAAAGATCCCAAAGTAAGCCGCAGGTTCTGTTGGCCATCTAATTGATATTTTCAGTTTGAGTGCAAGGCTCATGGTTTTAGAAATATCAGAGAACTCCACTCAAGCAATTTGGCATTCAATTATACAGAATAGCTGTTTTCTCTGAAATAGATACTAGTGAGTCTAGCTGTGCCATGTGCCAACAATACTGCACCAAAATTTGAACTTTTCTAAGGGAGGCATTTCCAGCTTCAGTCGGGAGAGCTGGATAATTTATAGGTTAACATTTTCTTTTTATGCAAAAAGCATTTTTTCTCATTTATAGTTAATTAGGTTAAGCATGCATGGGGAGCGAGGGAGGAAAGGCTTTCAGATAGGATCTAAATGATTAGTAATTTGAATAAAGTAAAAGAAACCTTGAAAAGATGTAGCTCTTGCATATATTAAATATGTTCTGTAACGAGCATGGGCATCAGATAGGAATTTTAAAAAGCTCCATGTTAATTATATTACTCACATAAGATACATGGCACAATTTTATTGATTTTGCTCACTCATTTTCCCCCTTTAAAGCAAGGAATGATTAGACATTACTGTAATAATGGAGGATATTTCTCTATATATCTTTGGATGAAACCTTTCACATACAATTCTGGCCCCAAGAATGCAATTCATGTGCATGGTATCACCATACAGGGGAATGGAGATGGTGGAATTGTGCTGATATTTTACAAGAGACCTTTACTCAAACTGGGAGACACATACTCAGGTTCCCGTACATATTTAATAACTGAACATTGGGCTGACTCAAGACATTTTGTGACCTAGAGGATAATACCACATGGTGTGTTTTCCTTTCTATGTACAAAAGCCAGCTGGACTGACATCTTCCCTCACAATGACAGGCCAGAAGACTGCCTGAAGGAGCACAGGAGCATATGGCATTCCCTCTTACATTTTCTTGCCATTCCCTGTTCTGAACTGGAAAGTCACACTATCACTTCATTCATTTACCAGTGGTTCCATCCATTTACCAGAGTGCTCCAGCAGATGACATATTTGCTCCAGCTCTGGGGGGCAGGGGGAAGTCCTTTGGTTATGTTCCACCACATTGCCAACTGTACTAGATCACTGTTAAGCCTCCCCCACCCCACACTAGCTCTTTTCAGCTACATATAGAATCATGGAATCATTGAATAATGAAGTTGGAAGGAGTCTGTAAGTCCATTGAGTCTTCTCCTCTTTTTAAAAAAATTTGCTGTTCACAGGACTCTGTAACCTGTAGTTTCATTATACTCACCATTATATTCACACACCTGTTACAAGGAAAAACATGTACAGGGGGAGCTGCTTTAGCCAACTAACCTGAAAAACAATAAAAAGTCTTAAGTCACTTTAAAGACTAAGGAGCTGCATTTGGCATAGTTTTTTTGTATCCTTTAGCCCCTAGGTTCCCAACCTTTGTTACTCGGATGTTTTTGAACTGCAACTCCCAGAAACCCCAGCCAGCACAGTTGGTGGTGAAGGCTTCTGGGAGTTGCGGCCCACAACTCCTGAGTAAGCCAAGGTTGAGAACCAGTGCTTTAGCCCAGTGGTCTCCAACCTTGGGCCTCCAGATGTTCTTGGACTGCAGCTCCCAGAAGCCTTCAACACCACCTCTGCTGGCCAGGATTTCTGGGAGTTGAAGTCCAATAACATCTGGAGGCCCAAGGTTGGGGACCACTGCCTTAGCCCACTTCTTTAGACATAGCTGAAGAAAATAGCTAAAGCCAACATCAACGTATAAACTCTTCACAGATTCCATGTCACAGATTCTTGTGAGCAAGAAAGAAAAATATGTTTGCTTTTAGTATAGGCTAGCCACGGGCCACAAAGGAGAGTAGTAAACTTCTCACCCCAGCCAAAGATAAAGAAGCTGAGAATTTCACCAAGTGATTTTTTTTCCTCACCATCCTATAGAGGTTACTGCCTGCTTTGTTTTGTTTTAACCATTTCTAAAATGGATTGATAGCCTATAAAATCCTTAGGCTTGTAGCTTTCCTTGTAGGTTCTCACTCTCGGATACAAAGTACGTACATGGATATTTGGTGAAACAAAGTTTCCAGGCAGAACTCCTCACAGTGAGGGAGCCCACTTCCCTGACAATGGCATGTGGATTTGTGAGCTTACTTTTGCTTTCGTTTTATCTAATATATCCATTACTTATCACTAATAAAATTATTATTCCACCATACAAATGGCTTGTATTATTTTAAACTCCCTGCAAATCTCTCTGATGTAGGTTCTGAGCGCACCAGGCCTAAAATAGAACCTGTCAATTTGTTTCAGCTTCTCTCCTTGCCCCATGTTCATGAAGTTATTATCCCATGCTGATGGGTTTGACAGGCTTTCCACTCCTCTCAAATATTATATTGGAATGTATGGTGCACACTAAAAGCATCAGAACTTAATCAGAGCCAGGCCTGATCAGATCAAAGATCTATCTGTCTAGGACAGCATTCTGTTCACAACAGGGATAGGCAAGCTCAGAAGATCTTGTGGCACTTATTTTGGCTGAGGCTACACCAGCTTTCACAAATTAAACCAGAGGTAACTAGAAGGTCACCTGGTTTGTATTCCCTCCAGGCATCATCCCCCTCTATTTGCAGGGGTTGGGAGGGAGGAAAATTAGATTTTTCCCCCTTCATGGAGCATAAAAATAGTCTTGGTGGGCTTTATATAGCTTATGAATCCCACCTCAGTTTACACAGTGACCCACTTCTCTTACTGGAAGACCATCAAGAGTGCACAACAATTGTTAAACAACTGCATACTTTTTCTGTTCCCCTGCCAGGCCCAATTTAAGACATGCTGCTTCATCAGGTGAAAGAAGAAAATGTGCCTTCTCTATTTCACATTCAGAGGGTAACAAAAAAAAAAACCCAACCAAAAACAAAACAAAACCCACATGCATTGGGACTGTAGTGCTGCCACAGCTAAAGAGAATACAGTAACTGATTCAGGGGGCATATAACATCCGTAACTCCATATTTCAATACCTTACCACTGTTCTGCCCCACCCCGGCATCTGCTGTCTGAGACAGCTAATTCAAAGGAGCACTGGCTCTGATACTAGAAGTGATGTACAGCCACCAGGACTGTTAGCCACATGTAATAGGGACAGCAGGGTGAATAACTTGAGGTTAGAGGTACAATTAGTTTTGAAGTGACACCAATGTTTACAATCAATGAGAATCACCATGAGGCAGTGGTGTTTGGTTGGTTGTGGGGTCTGGTTGTGGTCATTTCTGGTATGGGTGGTTGGGGGACAGACTTAGTGGAAGCTTTTATTATGCCATTATCTTCCCTCATTCATTTAATTTTAGGGGGCTTCGCACAGCAATCTCTCTCTCTCTCTCTCTCTCTCTCTCTGTTAGATGCAATATTTAGTTACATCAAGTGCAGAGTCCAGATCAAGGGAAAGAACAATATCCTTTGATCAGACCTCACCTGGAATATTGTGTCTGGTTGATTTAGGATTCTTTGCTGAGATGAAAAATGGGCTTTGTTTGCAAGTCTCATTATTCTTTGAAAAAAAATTATGTCTGAAAGGAAGATGTAATAGTAGGAAATAAGCACTTTGTCTCTGAGTTTACTTTCTATATAAAGTTATTATTTTTTTGTGGAAGCATCTAAACCCCACTAATTACCCAAGTGGTGGTAGTGTTCAGTTGACCTTTATGACTAATATTTTCAATTCGTAAGAAGTAATGCCTTTTCTTTCTCTGAGGCAGGCTACTCAGTCCCTGCTTCTTTTTTACCCAAGCTGAATGGACAGGACTATTGCAAAAAGAAGGCACTATTTGGCAAGTTGTAAGGAACCTTCAGTCACCATTGGTGTAGGATCATTGCCTGTCTGTACACCCTCCCTTCTTCCTCCTTTGGGCAGGTGGTCTAGCAGAACGACAGCTGATCTCTCCCCCTCCCCCACTCTCCAATCCCAATCTTTTTTTTCAAATTTAATTTTAATTGAATGCACTGCTAGGGATGCCTCAAATTGACTCTTTTGGTTTAAATTTCCTAGGGGATTTTGCCCCAAGATCTCTATCCTAGTGATAACTTATTCCAGCCAATACACACCCCCAAGTCCATGTTTATTATATAGCTTCCGGGGGGAGGGGAGGGGAGCTCTCCAGCATGTGCCTCTATGAACAGGGCCACTGTGGATGCCTTGAAAGTTACTCGACTGTGAACTCTTCCAATGTCTGTCACTTTCCTCATTAAGCTGGTGGGGAGTTGGGGGTGGGGAGGAGGAGGAGGAGAAAGAAATAAACCTATGACCCTGTCTTCCAGTCCTCATTAAAGTCTAGAAGGCCAGAGGGCTAATTTCCTCTTTTAAAGACATGTGCATAAAAAATGGCCGTTTACCAGAGAAGGCTTGAGCAGAAATGGCTTCTGTGTTGTGAAAGCAGCCTCTGCTTTACTGGATCCTGGAATAATGTTGTTTGTTTGCATTGTCTAACTCATTATCTCTCCCAGGAAAGGTTTGCAGGCAGGTAAGAGGAAGATGTGCTGTCTCTCATTTCTTATTCCCTACTGATATTTTGGCAGGAACAAGTTGCTAGCCAACAGTCTTCTGCTAGAATGCAGACAGATGTTTGCCCCATGGAGACTGCTGGGTTTGCCAGCTGACCAGGTAAGGCTGGCCAGGCCGGCTCCTTTGCTTTTAACAGCAGTCTGACAGACAATTGAGGCTTTTCATAGGATAATGAAGATAACTACTTACTAATTTCTACACATCAATCTGCTATTCAAGACACTGCTACAGAGGTGAGTTGAAAAGCAATAAACTCAGATGGACACAAATAAAATCAATCTGGGGCAACTCTCAGTCATGTGGACTCCTGCAGCATTTGATGGGGGCAAGTTTAACCACCCAGCTCACACTGCCTCAGGGGATATTGCCCCAATATTTCTGGCTAGTTGCAAAGATATTGTAAGATTTACCTAACCACATGGCAGAATGTTACAGAGAACCTATGCAAGCACAAAGCTAATGCTCATCTACATTGGGGCTTAGCTGTGACATCTCTTGTCTTCCAAAAAATTGTCCACTCCAAGTATGATTCTCGACCTGCCAATCCTTGTGTGACACTGGCTGGTTTTGTTTTTGTTTTTTGGCTTGTGTTGTGGGAAATTTAAATTGATACTTTGTTCTTTCTTACTTTGTTGTACGCTGACATGCTTTCACTGAGTCATTTCTAAGGAGCAATTAGTAAATACTGGCACAGTTATCTGTTTCTTGCTTGTGACAGAGCTGTATGCATACCCTGCCCTTATAAGGCCACTGTTAACTACTGACTTCCAAGTGTCAACATCTGATTGGTGGGTTTCATCTGAGGGGAGATTATAAAAGGTTCCATGACTCCTTTAAGAGGCGTGCTTCCTTGTAAGTGGTTGTACCTATCTACATGCAAATGAACTGAGTTTTACCTCACTCACTATGAGTTTATTTTGATGCCTCTAGTTCCTTCACTAACAGAATGAACTTCAGGTTCTTTAAACCTTAGGTTACCCCCCACCCCGCCTGTGCTGCCATTTCACTTGATCGGAAGAGAAAATGTAAAAGAAAAGGGAGGGCACACGTCTCAACTCAGACTCTGCACAGATCTAATTCTTCAGCCAGCCTGATTGTTGGATCTGGGAATCCAGTTTTCCCACATCATGTCAGACCAGACTTGAGACCCAAAAGGCATCCTCAGTGTTTCTGGGCTGGGCCTTAGGTGTGCACACACTGGAAATATCATTGACACACCCACTGTATGTAGTGTGAAATTCCTTGCAGGTTCAATAGGAGGCATTCTGCTGCCTGGGGCAAAGGTCAAGAAAATATTCTCTCTGAAGGCTAATTTCAGAGGCTGGCTGGCTGGCAGGTGATGCTTACTTTGACCCTGCTGTTGGAACTGAATCCTTCACTTCACCTGAGGGCTGCAAGCTGGCTTAGGGAGTGCAGGATGAGTTTGGAGAAACACACAGCTCTGTCCCAAGACAGAGGAGAAGAGCAGGCTACTGCTGCTCTGTACCACCTAATATCTGTTTCCTGAACCAACTGCCTCACTCTGCCTCATCAGTTCAAACCTGGTTCCCTGACACCCCCTTTTCTTTCCCATTCCCAGGCCAGATTATTGCACAGAATGGTTGGGATAACCCAATCTTTTCAAATTTTTGCACCACACAATGTGAGAACCAATGTGATGTAGTGGGTAGAATTTGAGAGCTGGGACTTTGAGACCTGGGTTCAAATTCCTGCTGTGCCATGGAAACACGTCGGAGAAAGTGGGAGATAGCAAGAGTAATTTACTTAAATACTGCAGTAAGTCTTCTTGAGCTTTTCATGATGTGCCTTAGCAGTTGAATTCTGCACTTAAATTTGTGTTGACACATCTAGTAAGAAATAATCTAAATATTCAGGAATAAGAATTGTTTGGGCAAATGACTACTTGGAGCAATGCCTTCTCACATAAAAATCAGCGCTAAGTAGTATAGAAATTTACAGTGAGTTTCCCCAACTTGCTATTTATTTATTGATTGATTGATTTGATTTGATTTGATTTGATTTCTATGCCGCCCAATCTACCCAGAGGTCTACCCAGTTTGTTAGCTTCTGTTAAAAATAAGTACAAAGAACCTGGTCTAGCAAGGACCTTGCTTGAGATGTTAGAAAGCTGCTGTACATAAAGAGCTTGAAACAGACCAATGGTTTGACTCACTCAATAGAAGGCAGCTTTGTATGTTTGTGTTCATGGTGCCTTTCAGAACAATGGACTGTCATGGGATAACTAAACAATAGAATGCATGTAAAGAATACTGAGCGATCAGAAGAAGAGATTGTTTTGCATACTGATAGTGTGTGCATGTGCTTATGGTTTATAGGTGTGCACACATTATGTGCTTTTCATTTTTAATATCTTTCCCTGTGGGATTCCCTCCTATTCCTAATTTTTATTCATGAGAAGGAGGGAGGAGGAGTAATAGCCATTGCATAACACCAGCACTGAATCTTCAGGAAAATGTGTAGAGGCAATTTTTAGTTGCTACATCTGACTTGTAGTGTTTATGATCCATTTTTGTTCTGCCACATAAACGTTTCCCCATTAGCATTTGTATTGAGCACTGGAGAGAGAATGTGGCTGATTAGGTTCAGAGCAGATGTGTTTCCCCTAGAGAGGAGAGGACGATAAATCTTATAGCTCTTTCTGTTATTTAGAGTTGATATTAGATCCAAAATTAAATTGGAGAATAAAATACTTGACTTGTTCTGCATACACTCTACCTAATCCTTTCTACATATGATTATTCTAATTATTTACATTTACACACTCAAAGGCAATTAGCTTAGAAATAGCTGGAAATGCAGGGAAAGAAACCATGTCCCTGCCTCTGGAGAAGTTTGAGAACCTGTTTCTTTCTTAATTGAAGCTGGAAAGTCTACTACATTGCAGAATGGCTAGCAACACTATTGCTGAGTACAGTGGGGTCTCTACTTAAGAACTTAATCCGTATTGGAAGGTGGTTCTCAAGTTGAAAAGTTCTTATGTTGAATCTGCATTTCCCATACGAATGCATTGAAAACCATTTAATCCGTATCTGCTCTTTTCCGTCCATAGAAACTACAGTGGAACCTCTACTTAAGAACTTAATCCGTTTTGGAATGGTCTTCTTAAGTTGAAATGTTCTTAAGTTGAAGCGAAATTTCCCATAGGAATGGACTGAAAACCAATTAATCCGTTCTGGCTGTTTTTTTTTTTTATGTAGAGGTGTGTTCGTACATTGAAGCATTAGTTCCCATAGGAACTAATGCAAAGCTGGTTAATACGCTCTCTACTACTAGGGGGAGAATTTTTTTTAACCTAAGATGACCTAAGGTTAAAAAAAGAGCAGGAAAGTTTTTTTTTCCTGTTCTTATCTTGGATTTCTGTTCTCAAGTAGAAGCAAAATTTAGCAAATGGAGCTGTTCTTAAGTTGGATTGTTCTTAAGTAGAGACGTTCTTAAGTAGAGACCCCACTGTAGATCTTTATTTATCTGGACACCTTAGTGACACAATGATGACAAGCTATGCAATAATTGATGTAGCCAGGAATACATGATAGAGTTCCCCTTTCCATGTGATCTTGCTCGGCTCTTGTTCTGGGCACCACACTTCAAGAAGGATGCCGACAAACTGGAACAAGTTCAGAGGAGGGTAACAAGGATGATCAGGGGTTGGAAAGCCTTATGAGGAAAGATTGAAAGAACTGGGCATGTTTAGCCTTGAGAAAAGACAACTGAGAGGAGATATGATAGCACTTTTCAAATACTTTAAAAGGTGTCTTACAGAGGAGTCGCAGGATCTCTTCTCAGCTGTCACTGAGTACAAGACACAGTAATGGACTCAAGTTACAGGAAGCCACATTTCAGTTGAATATCAGGAAAAACTTCCTAACTCTTAGAGAGTATGGCAATGGAACCAATTATCTCAAGAAGTGGTGAGTGCTCAACACTGGAGGCATTCAAGAAGAATTTAGACAACCACCTGGCAGTTATCCTTTTACTTGCATTCCTGCACTGAGCCTTATAGCCCTTTCCAACTTAATGATTCTGTGATTCTATGACCCTGCTTTTCATTGCTCTTCGGGGAGACTGTCTCCACCTTTGTGAAGAGATTTTACACGGTTATCAGATTTTCCGTATACCGGTGCCAGTTCTAACTTTCAAAGCAAACACTCTCCTCACCAACGGTTCTCTGTGTAGAAGAAACTACCATGGAGAGCAACTGATCACAGTCATCATAATCTGGTGCCTTTGGCTATACATTAAATCTCTATTCTGGCTTTAAGGGAAAGATAGTAGGAAAACCAGAAGGAAACCAAGGCACAGCCAGAATTAGAAGACTTTTCATATGTGGGAAGAACAGTGTAAGAAACAGGAGATTGACAAATATTAGGTTTTATAGTAATACCAACACTGCAATGAAGATTTATACCTTTTTGTGGGTTTTGACATGGTAGTTATTTTTTGACATCACATTGGTACCATTCTATGAATTTCAACGTGTGCCAGTTGTTCACATTCACCTTCCCCTTTTTAAAAAAGGTAGAAAAACTGGCTTGTTAGTGTGTGTAATCTTCATAATGCCTTTCACAATTATTAAAGTAAGTAGCATTAACAGCAACACATAATGATGTTCTATAAAACACATCCCGATCCGAGTTTCGACTAATGTGTATATAACCCACTTTATAGAACCATAGCTTTAGTAGACTAAGTGGTTAATTGTTATTGATTGGCTCTGCCCACTGTTCCAATATCCATCATTATTGAAATCATCTCCATTCCCTTCATTAAGCATGCATCTGTTTCTATGGGAATGGATTTCTAAATAAGAAGTGCCATTTAAATCTTATTGGCTTCCCTGGTTGTACAGGCAGTCTGCAGTGTGGTTGCCCAATCTGTCATTGTTAATCAACTCTCATCTCTTAACACTGGCTGGAGTTATCAATGAGGTGAGGATTAATATTCTAGGCGAAACAGATGATAAATCATTTGTACATAATTAGTGTACAGCAAGGTTACAGCTGACATGAATTTTTATCTTAATTATGATAGAAATTTGTTCCATTAATTTAATTTAGTTTGCATGAGTGGTTCAACACCTAACAAAGTTAATCTTACACCTGTCATTACAACAGTAAGGAAAGTCTCATTCTCGAGCTGCGGGCACAGATAATTGCAGTGTGGGGGTATTGCACTAACCGTTTGGTTTCAGCAATAAGCTATCATCTTCCAAACACAGAGAATCCCCAGTTTAAACAAATAAAAAAGCCATCTTAGGAGGTTTATAACAAGAAAAACAAAACAATATTTAAATATGTTCTGTATAAAGCAGAGAAGGAGGGAATCTTTGGAGATTTTTTGACTTCAGTTCCCAGAAGCTTCAGACAGCCTAGTTAATGGTAAAGGATCATGGGATGGGAGTTGCAGTCTAAAACATCTGGAGGACTGAAAGTCCCAGATCCCTGCTTTAAAGACTCTGTCTCTCCCTGTCTGTCCAATCCCCAGTAGATTTGGCATCTTTCTTATAAATCACACAAATAGATACAAGGAAACATGATACCCCCAATCCAGTAGATACGGAACAGCTGTCAAGATAGATAAAGTGTGTTTGTGCGTGTTTCTGTGAATAAAGTACTACAAGCTGCGTACTTCTATGACACACATTGGGCACGCTGAGTTGACTGCTATGCTTTCTGATGCAATCCTGTTCATACAAAGTGATTTTTGAAGAGAAAAGCCATGATTC